TTTTTAAGATTCTGCATATCTGAAAATGCCTTTATTGTGTAGTGATACTTCATTTCCAGTTTGGCAGGTATAGAATTCTAGTTCGGAAATTGTTTTCTCAGAGTTTTTATGTTACTGCTCCATTTTCTTTTAGCTCTCAGTGTTGTTGAAAAGTCTGATACCTTTGGGATTCATAATCCTTTGCATACTGTCTCCCTCCCATTTCTCTGGAAGCTTATTGGATTTCTCTTTTGTTCCCAGTATTATAAACTTTCATATTGTATGCCTTGGGCAAGTTGATTTTTATCCTTTGGGGACTCTTTTCAGTCTGGCAACTACTGTTTTTCAGTTATGGAAAACTTTAAGTTACTTCTTTGATCTGTCCTCTCTGTTTGCTTTCTGAAACTTCATGATTCAGCTTTTAGACTTGGTTTAATCCATTGTTTCAAAATACCATCTCTTTATTTTAAAATTTTTTGTCACTTTGCTCTACTTTTGGGGGAGATTTTCCTAACTTTATATTGAAATATTCATTTCTACTGTCATTTAGAAAATTTTCTAAGAACTTATAATCTCTTCCATAATTACGTATAAAAGAGAATCATAGCCTTGTAAAGTCAAGGAATATCTAAAAGTTCATCTGTGTTAACCCCGTTCTGTCCAGAAGTCTCTGTATTGTTGCTGATATATATATATATATATATATATATATTTACTTTTTTCATAGTCTTCTGCTTCTTTATGTCCTGATTTCAGTGATGGCAGGAAAAGGGATAGCTAGGCTGAGGGTGTGGACTATGCTGGTGCTTGGAGCAGCTTAGGATTTTGGATGGGGCGGTGGGGGGATGTTATGTGAAGGGCCCCGGGTCTGCCTGCAGTGTTTTCAGGGAAGACTGTTCACAGTGGTGCTGGAGTACTGACTCTGTCAGTACCTAGGAGTCGTGTAAGCCACTTTAGCCATACTCAGCTCTCGTTAGCAGGCATTCAGTTGATTTATTCTAAACTGGCATAATAAAAATGAATTGAAAGTTGTACCAAGCATAACTGGAATGACGATGGTTTGCCTGGGGTTAAGGAAACACTGCAGTTAAGGCCTGGCAGTGATGAAGAGCTGCATGCGCCTCACACGCCCCATGCTGGGGTTCTGCCTCTGGGCCTGGCTGGCTCAAATTGGGGTTCTCCGACCTGCTCTTCACTCTCTTCCTTCCATCCATGCCCTTTTCCTTGCTGACAGTCTTCCTGCATGGACATCTCTGCTGTAGGCTGGACTGGAAGGAGGAAAATGAGTAAGCTCCAGTGTCTCGCCACTTTTGCCTATCATACCCATAAGGAAGAATAGTTTGGAGAGGGGAGGAAGAGAAGAGGTTGAAAATTGCTGACTGAGGTTAGGTTTCTTAAAATAAGTCGTGTGCCTTTGGTTACCCCATTTAAAAATTACAGTGAATAATTTCAGAGTTGACTCCATAAATAAGTACATGTAAGTGGATAAAGCTTTGGAAAGATTGTAATTAATCAGTCTCTCACCCTGTTTCAGTGTAGTGATTGGACTCATTCTTCTGGTGTGCCCTGATGTCTTGCCAGTTGCTGTGTTAGTTTCCTGTGGCTGCCGTAACCAGTCCCCCAAACTGAGTGGCTTAAAAGGTATCCATTTACATTTCTGGAGGCCAGAAGCCCAAAACCAGTTTCATTGAGCCTAAATCAAGGTGATAGCCTTGCTTCCTCCAGAGGCTCTAAATGATGGCATTTAAGGCCAATCTAGATAATCCAGGATAATTTCCCTATCATGAACTCCCACTGTTTTTGAGTTTTTGTACCTCATAATCCAGTGCAGTTTCTAACCAGTACTCTTAAAAAACTAAAGACATGCAGTTTTTTTTTTAGTAACGTCTCTCTTATTTTTTCTATGATGAGGAGGCTGAGAGTATACATGTTGAGACTGGAATAGCAGCTCCACAAAGTCATTAGGGACCTGAGCTTCTTGGGGTGTGCCTGTCGCCTTGTGGTCACAAGATTGGGGCTTCACTTCAGGCGACATGTCAGGGTTTGGAGCAGGGAAAGGGCATAGTAGGAAATAGGTGCTGCTTTGCTCAGAAGCTTTCCAGAAGCCCCATCCAACAACAGGGCTTACATTTTGTTGGCCAGATGGCCACATGGCCACCATCAAGGAGGCTGGAAGTGTTTTAGCTGGGACATCACATGTCTCCTCCAGAAGAGTTCTGTGGCTGTTAAGGAAAGGGGAGAATGACTATGGAGCAGGGAGCTTGCAGTCTGTCCTAGAAAGTGATGAGAACAGTTCACATTTTCATCTACAACTAGAAGACTTTTAGACACAAAGCTTTACTTTTTTTTGGTAGAGGGAGATAATTAGTTTTATTTATTTGTTTATTTTTGGAGGAGGTACTGGGGATTGAACTCAGGACCTCATGTGTGCTAAGCATGCGCTCTATCACTTGAGCTATACCCTCCCCCCGAAGAAGGCTTTTTTGTATATGATCACAGTAACCTTTGTTTTCCAACATCTGTTGAGAAAACCTGCTCAGTGCCAGGCATGGTGGTAAGCATTGGGATGTCTGTCAGTGGCTCCCATACATTGGTACTTGCTATGTGCTAGACACTTTAACTACTTTCATATATGTTATTTACATTATCTCTAATCTGCTATCTGATCTTCTCCTGGAGATAACCCCATTTTATAGGTGGGGCAACTGAGGATCCATGAAAATGGTTAGTAATTATCATCGTCTAGATTTAGAGATAAAAACTAAGATTTATAATGATGTAGCCAGTACATGATACAGCTTAATCACACCCATGTTTTCTAGTTCCAAGTTTGGTGCTAAAATCAGTGCTTTGAACTGAGTGTGCACCCCCAACATCCACCCATCCACATACTGTGAAATAGTGAGAAAGCATGACCTGTAGTCACATAATCCTGGGCTTGAGTCCTGATTCTGCCAAGTTTGGTTTTGTTATATGATAGGCAAAATATCTAGCTTGATTTGTCATTTGTAAAATAGGGACAGTGCCATCTGTCTTGCGGGGGGGTGGTTTGTGAGGATGAAATGAGATACAAGTGTATAGTGCACATATTAAGTGAATGGTAATTTACAGTTATGATTGTCGTATTATAGTTCAACATTGACTTTTCTTATTCTGTGAAAGGTTAATACTGAAGGAATTACTTATTCCCAATTTAGTTCTTGGGACTTTCGATTAGTCATAAAAATCCTCTCATGGCAAAATCATAGAAAAGAAACATTTGTTTTTCTACCAATTTCCTGTAACTCTGGGGTTGAGAGGAGCCGGTATTTGTGCCAGTTGTGAGTGATTTTTGCAGTGATAACAGATGGGAATAACTCTATTTTCCCTCCTGTATTCCCTCTGTTTTCTGTGGCTGCCACAACAAATTACTGCAAACTTGATGGCTTAGAACAACACACATTTTTTATCTCACGGTTCTCTATGTCTGACACAGGGCTCAGGCTAAGGTCAGGTGTTGGCAGGTCAGCATTCCTCTCTGGAGGCTCTAGGAGAATCTTCTGTTTGCCCCTTTCAGGCAGTTCCTTGGCTGGTGGCTCCCTTCCTCCCTCTTGAAAGCCAGTAATGTGACATCTCTCTGACTCTGCTTCCATCATTACATCTTTCTCTGACTCCTCTGCCTTCCTCTCTCACCTTTTAAGGACCCTGTGATTACATTAGTCTCATCTGGATGAAGCAGGATACTCTCTCCTCTCAAAGTCAGCTGATAAGCAGCTTTAATTCCCCTTTACTGTAGTTGTAAATTACCATATTCACAGGTCCTGAGGATCAGGACATGGACATCTTCAGGTGCCGAAATTCTGCCTACCATGTCTCCCACTCTCCCCAAAAGACTGAGCTCAGTTTTATCTTCAAAACTGAAAAATCTTTGATGTTGCAGATACCTTTTTATACACTGAAGTCATTTGAGGTGGTACTGGGAGGTGATGGGTATGAGCTGGGATGCTTGACTGAGCTGTTGCTGTGTGTGGAAGATGTGAGGCAGGTACAGGGGAAGTGGTGCATACAGGCCTGGGAGGGAGAGACCAGCCTCTCGCAGGCCCTCGGGTGATGGATGCAGGGAGAGCGGCTTTAGCATCACTGGTGTGATGGACTTTGGTTACCACATAGTCCTAGGGATTTTTTTCCTTAGCGTTCCTATCTGTGAAAAAAAAATGCAAATTTTTTTTGTGTTTGCAAAGTCAAAACATTTGTAGAATTTGTGAGATTTCTTAGTATTTGTAATGATTTATTTGAGTAATTTTAAATTCTTTGAAGGAAAGACTATTAAAATCAAAGCAGAAATAAAATCTGTGGTTGAATTCAGTTTTCTTATTAAGGTCACCACTTGATTCAGTTTACTGTTTGAATTCATTTTCTCAGTTCAGTACTAAAGTACATCACATGAACGTATTTTCCTAAGTGAAAAGTCTAGTCTTTCTAATTATTTATCCATTATGATCAATATGCAGCTACTGAAACTCCACTGTTTGCCAGGCACTCTGCTTGGCTCTGGGGATAGAGAGGTGAACGTGATACAGTCCCTTCCCTCTTGGAGCTTACAGTTCAGCCTAGTAGGGCTTGTCAGCATGTAGTAAACAAAGTGGGCATGACTAACTAGGAATCGAACTACGGTAAATCATGGACGAATCTGCAAAATTTCCCTTGTTTTTTCTCTTGAGTGTGTGATTGCTTCCTTGGTTCAGGATTCTTTTCAAATACTTCGTAAAATTGAAATATAACTGTGACTGCTATTTATAATATAGACTAATTTTTTTTTTTTTGCTCATTTGAAGTGCGTAATCTGAAGTTTAGGTTGCTTTTTGAAATGAATTTTAAAATAGATTGTATCATTTATTAAGCTTTTCCAAATATTTAACATAATGAAATTATAGATGTTGATTTTTGCAAGCAAAGTTTTCAATGACTCTTATATACAACATTCCGTAAAATGTTTCTAATTAAGGAAGGCCTGACATTAATTTTCGTGTTTGTTCTTTTAGGAATGTTTTAAAGGAAGTTGGGCTACTCACAAGTTACTACATAAGAAAGCGAGTAAGTAAAATCACACACCTATACCATTTGTCTTAGAAGTGGCTTTGTGTAGAAGACAGTAATTCTTCCAGTTCTGAAAGTGTATATTTAAATGTTCTGACAGTATAATCCCGAAAGCTAGAGGTCAGACATTTTTTATTCTTTGTGGTGTGTAATCATGTAAATGAAATATGGCTGAGTAGTATCTTTGTTAATCTTGTGTCACATTTGCAACATGAAAACATGAGATGGTTGCTACAATAGTTGGATCTGACTTGAGCAATACCTGAGATTGTCCTAATCTTTTGGCACCTGGCACCCTCTTTCTTTTGTTAGAAGTGTTTGCAGATTATAGTCAGGGCCACGTAAGAGATCTGGCTTTATTTAATCAGAAATCCTTTTTTTTTTTTTTTGTTTAGTTTCAGTTTAAATTGCTTTGTCTAACTCAAAATTGTTATCACTGTTTTTTTTTTTTTGGTGTTTTGATGTTATTACTTGCAGTCTAATGTTTAATTTTCTTTTTGAAGTTACTTGGTGAGACACCATAAACTGTTGGCTGCTTCTTAGCTGTTGCTGTCAGCCACACTGATCTATCGCCGATTCGAATGGCCTTTCCTGCTCTGGTGACTCATCCTGTAAATTCACGCCACTGGTGTGGCTAGTTCAAGACAGCTTGTCATAGTTACCTGAAAATTGCCAAGGGCATTCTGTTCTTATAACATTGCCATCCCAATGGATGAAGGCTTGGCAGATAGCACATGGTTCTTGGTATAAGGTTTCTTTTTCAACTTACTGATCTTGGTTTTTTTTTTATTCGTTTACTTTATATTTTTAAGGAATTTGCCAATTTAATCAAGTTTGGTAGATTGTTTTATATGTATCTGTACCTTAAAAATCTCGCTGAGGTCAGTTTAACCACCATTTGAAGGAAAAGGAAATAAAAATTAAAGAAGACATATATTCTGTGGCTGTATAAAGTGAAGTCGACATTTAATGGAAACGCTAGGCTATTGTGGGAGGAAATGTGGTTAGAGATGAGGAGGAATGATTATGAATAAATGAGTTTGTAAAAGCATAAATGACAGAATTTATTAACCTCAAATCAAAGTATAAAGGTAGATTTAAATAATGCCATTTAACTTTATTCACTCATACTTTGAATACTGTATATCCAATGTGTTAGGTATTTTTAGAGCTCTCTGAGCCAGTGATTAACATTTTATACCCAGAAAGTTAAAGCACAGGGAAGTGAAGGATTGAGGTAAAACAGTATGTTATTAAAAGAGCTTAGAATGGGGTCTCTACTCCCAGCGTCTGCTAACTCACTGACGTGTTTATTGTTTATTCACGGTTGGATTTCTAAGGGTAGAGCTATTTCATTATGACTTACACTACAAGAGAATTAAACAGCTGACCTTCCCTAAGTAAGAAGAGCATGATTATTACTGCATTGGACTGTTAATGTTTTTACTTACCCTTCTAGTATTTAGAAGTATGGTTCCATCTTTCAGATTGTGCCCTCTTGGATCTTATGGGATGATTCCATCAGTGGGGGTGCCTAATGTTCTTGTTCCCGTTGGGCTGTGTTGAATAGAGACAGCCCTCAGCTTGCCAGCCTGTGTCTTTCACATCCCCACTGATAAATTGACCTCGACTGCACCACTGTGGATGACAGTCGTAGAGGAGGGAATCGTGTGTGATCTCCAGAGCTGAAAAGAGTATTGGGAAAGGAATTAGAGGAAAGGAATGTTGGACTGGGAAAGAACTAGGGCATCTTAAAAGATAGCACTTTACTCCGAGAATTAATAGTGAGATAACATAGCAAGCGGTTCGTATTATGAAGGTGATATTCTCAGGCTTTTTCTTCTTTTTAAGTGTAATGTGTACTGATCTCTAATTAAAGATCACTGATTTAGATTTATGTTCATTTGGGCTGTTGGTCTGTAATTTGCTTTTAATGTCTTTGACTGGTTTTGGCATTAGAATAATCCTGGGCTAATAGAATGGGAAATGTTTTCCTCTTCCACTTGCTGGAAGAGGTTGCGTAGAATTAGCGTCATTTCCTCTGTAAATGTTTAGTAGGATTCAGCCAGTGAAACCACCTGGACCTGGAGTTTTCTTGATTGCAGAAGCTGATCAGGACTTAGGAAAATTTCAAGTGTGAGTTAAATGACTCAAGGGCAAAATTTATTTTTTATGTGTCAAAGTAAAGAAGCCCAGTTAGATTGTAAAGCCCTTAAAGGCATGTTAATAGTGATGCTTAAGTGCCTATTTCCTACATGTATCTGCTTCCAGAGTATACATAGTAGCGCTTACTTTTAGTCAGATCTGTAAAAGTTGTAGCACTTAACATCTCAATACTATAAATTGTACACTTTTTAAATATGTCGCTGATAATGTTCAATGTGTTTCTTTGTCTTCCATTTTCCTAAAGTAAAAGGTGGAAGCGTTTGACAAATATCTTTTGACTAGCCAAAAATGTGATGTAAAAACTCCATTAAAATAAAACCTCAACAAACCTCTAAATAATACTTTTTATTCTACTCCTCCAAACTTGTGTGCTTGATTTTTAGATTGCAGAGGGAAGGAATTGAAGGTATTAGGTGATACTTCAGAACTGGTCCCAGCAAGCTTTGTGAGCATGTATTACTTACTTTAAGCCTCACCTCCAAAATGTTGAAATCATAGGTTTGTTGTGAGGATTAAATAAACAAATCCATGTAAAGTGCTTAGCATGTGTACAGTGCATGGTAAGTGCTCAAAAACCATTTAATAATCATCTCCAGGAGAACTGAGTCAGGATTGTGATCAGAAAATTCTGTACTGGGAGAAGCTTAGATATGTGCAGTTGTTTGGTATCAGCTGGCTGGGGGTGGTGGCCTGCACAGAATCTGAAAGAAGTGGGTGATGTACTTGGGGCCTGCCCTTGCACAAATCACATACTCTTTGACACTACTTGCAGCTCACCTGGCTCTATTGCACTGTGATGTTTGAAAGACAGCTTAAAGGTGTTCATTTATGCTGTCCTGTGCTTTCACAGTCTTTGAAAAAGACCAGTTAGTGTGCAGTTTTGTTCCAACCCCCAGTCCAATTCATTTTTTTTTAATTGTAGTATAGTCAGTTTACAATGTTGTGTGAATTTTGGGTGTACAACGTAATGTTTCAGTCATACATATACATACATATATTTGTTTTCATATTCTTTTTCATTATAGGTTACCCAGTTCATATTTATTAAGTATCTATTATGTGTCTAGGACTTAAGGTTAGATCTAATTGATCCTAAAATGTAAGCTAACTTACTTTGGAATTGTAAATTTCCTGAAATAGGTTATACCAAGAGATTAGAAGAGAACTTGCCATATTTCATTCTTACTTGTCTACATAGCTTTTAGGTTTTGTTGGAGGTTTGCTTTCAATTCTCTTTTGAAAACAGACGGTAGAAGGTTTGGAATCCCGATTGGCAGGAAGCTTTGAAAGGTTTTACATCCTTCCTTTCCCCTGGACCCTCCCTAGGAGTGTGATAAAGCCAAAAGTCTTGCATCTTGATTGCTATTCTGTCCTGTGTTTCAGGTGAAAATTGTAATTTTTTTCTTCCTGTTTTTGTTATTTGGGGGCACAGGGGAGGTAATTAGGTTTATGTCTTTTTAGTGGAGGTACTGGGGATTGAACCCAGGACCTCATGTGTACTAAGCACGCACTCTACCACAGAGCTATACACCCTCACCATCACAGGTGAAAATTATTCTTGAGGTTCATAATTCGTACAAAACACCTGATATAGTCATAGCTAAATCAGGTATCAGTTGGCCTGCATTTCGAACTATTTTCTGTGTGTTTGACCCTAGTGGCAGTGAAGAGTCCATCTTTGTCCTGGGATGAAGATAGTTTTCCTATTGATATTAATGTTCACAGAGGCTTTCTTGAACTTCATAGGGGAGAAAGATATCTAAAATTCAGTAGCACACTAGAGCTTCTCTTTTCCTTTTCTATTCTTATTTTTTATTCTTTTCTGTTCCTTTACTTTGTATGTAATATTGTAATTGTATTCTCTTCCAGAATAATGTGAATGGATTGGCTGCAATTTTACATTCTTGTCAGTTGCACGTCAAGGGCCTTTCAGTCCCAAACTGACCGACCACATGCTCTGTGGAGAGAGTACTGAACTGGGAACTAGCATTTCCACATTTCTCTGAGCATGTGAACCATAGACTGCCTCAGTTTCCTCACCTGTAAAATGAGGAAATTAGACTAGATTGTTTTGTTGTTGTTGTTGTTTACTTCAGTCACTATGCTGGATACCATATCCCCAGAACATATTTATCATATGATGAATTTGGTACCTTTTGACCACCTTCACTCATTTCACTGTTCCTCTTTAGCTTAACATGATATGGCTTCATCTATTCTCCCCATTTTGTGTCTTAAATAGATTGCTTAAAAGGGAGAAATTTTTTTCTTTTATTTTTCTTGTATATTGCCAAAATTATTTGAAGTCTGACCTTTAAAACCTATAATAGCGTGACAGTAATCAGGAAAGGATTGACGTACATCGGGAGGTGTATAGGCTGCTACTTGGTATAGCGGGATTTGACTTTCTGTTATTTAAAGTCTTAGTAGTTTTTAGTTTGCAGTAAGAGAGGCCATCAGTGTGCTGACATTAGACACCACTGAGGTTCTGTTCTGTGTGAAAAAGATTTTTAGGTGCATTTCAGTAAATACAACATTACATATTAACTAACTAACCTGATAGTAGGGTGTGTGTTTGATTCTTAATTTTTCTAATGAATTTGCAGTAACTTTCTATTGGCTGTTCTTGTATCTTTCTTTCCTACTTCCTTCTATTATCCCCTTCCTGAGAAAAGGTAAATGATACTCATAAAATTTTCAAAGCAGCATAAACTGTTGACTTGAAAGTTATTCATCAGCTAAGTGAGACTTTTTTTTACTTTAAATGTGCTGTGGGATTATTTAGGATCTGTTCTTTTAGTAAGAGCACAAAATCCATTTGTAGTATCTGCTCTTAGTGGGAAGTTTTGCCTAGGTTCAGATTTTATATTTTAAAAAACAGGCTTTTTATAAGTTGACATTGTAGGGAGAACATGTTTAGCATTTCCCTGAGAAAAGGAGTTTGACTACGAGCTGTTTCTATCCGACATTGTGGAAAAGCCGAGAATATGTTTAGACTGGGCTTTTTCTCCCCAGACACTTAGGTCTTCGAGGAGTCGTAGGGCTGTGGACATAGCGAGAAAGCAGTGGCTTTGGCGATTTAGGCCAGCGGGGGGTAGTTTGCTGGATTTTGTGCTTGGGCTTTTTGGCTTGGTTTCCAAACACTGATAGTTAAAAGCGTGCTGCTGCTTAGAGGCTTGACCCCTGAGGCATTTCTTTCTTCCATCCATCCATCTTCCAGAAGATGAAAAGGCCAAGCGAGAAGTGTCTTCCTGGACCATGGAAGGTGATATCAACACGGACCCTTGGGCAGGTTATCGATATACTGGTAAACTCAGACCACATTATCCACTGGTGAGTAAATAAGGTAATAAAAATTTAACATTTTTAAAAACCAGTTTTCAGAATTTTCGGTTTCTTAAAAATGATACTTGTAATTTAATTATGAATTATATGGTCAGGATTAAATTTACATTCTAGGTTTTTAGCTTTTATGGTACATTATTTGGAAGTTAGTAAGGGAGAATTGGCAGTCATGGATACAGTAGAAAAAATTCAAGATGAAGGATTAAGACTTACTTAATTTCTAAAAAAGAATGAGCTAGAATAGATATTTCTAGGCTGGTGTAATGGTAGTGAATATTCCTACTTTCCTGAAATTTTTTACTGTGCTATTTGCCTAAATTTAGATACGGCTTTTCCACCACTCCTGCTGCTTTCTGTGTTCTTGGCAGACTGACTTCAGAGTCTTAACATAGGAATTGACTTGAAATTTGTCATCCTTAAATATTTAAAAATTTTTTTACTGATGTTTTGTTTTTATAAAAGAAATAATACATCTTTAATTTTTAAAATTTGGAAATACATCAAAAACATAAACTCTCTTTAGCCATAGCTCCCAGAGATAATTATGATCAGGAACATATTGGTGTATATTTGAGATATTATTATTGTTTTTGGCTCACCAGATTGTTTGGAATGACATGGGCATCTTCCTTGTCTGTGTGTAATCTGAAATCCTTAATGGCCTTGGTCACGCTCCCTGGTTCTTTTGTATCCTAGGAAAGGGGGTGGCATTAGCACTAGAACAGTCAAGCTAGAGCTTCGTGAAATAGATACGTTGTGGTATTTAAGAAGTCAGTTAAAACTTTTTTCTGTTTAAATGAAATGAATGAACTTTTTTTTCCTTTGGTGTTTTTTCCTCCACTTTTATTTAGTTAGTAAATTTTAATAATGAAAGTTACTTTCATAATTGAATCAGTTCTAACTACCCTACCCTTTGATATTTTTAGATGCCAACAAGGCCAGTGCCAAGTTACATTCAAAGACCAGATTATGCTGATCACCCTCTAGGTAAATTCTGCTATGCTCTTTCTTTATATTTTAGTTTGTGGGCTTGATGACTACTGCAAAGGAAAGGAGTGGTTTTTTAGGAGAAAAATTTTAGTGCTGCATCTGTAATAAGTGTAAATACACTATTTTTAAGATATAGTAGAATATTTGAGAGAATTAAAGATTCTCTCCTCTCATTAAAATATAATCAATTCTGAAACATTGTTTATATAGCTATTAAAAGCTACATTCAGCATAATATTGCATTTTGTATTGTTATATCAAATTCCAGATTTTAAGTAAGTTTTGATTTTAATATGTTCTCCTAAATAATATTTGTCAAGATAAAAACAGGTGGTAGAGGCCTGGAATGAAGGCCTAACTAAAGACTCTGGACTGTAGCAGTAATAGAAGTAGTAGGAATGAGGATG